TTAAGCCAACACAATCAAGCGCAGCTATTCCGCTGCAATTCACACTTAATCATGTGGTTGTTGGTTTTGTTGGTTTTTGCTAATAATTATATTTTTAGAATGTTTAACTTTAAGGTGGGCTCGTCCTTAAGTTATTTGTTTTTGTTATTTTAAGGCGAACAAGGCGAACTTAGCACAGTGCGTGGGCAATAAATAATTGGTACGTTGTTACGGTTTTCATCAAAATCTGTAGCATATTCAAATGCCAAAGTTTGCATCAAAATCTGTAGCATATTCAAATGCCAAAGTTTTAGAGAATTTTATTCTTTTGTGCGACACGTAGTTCATGACCAGCAACATGCTAAACACAGCGATTTAAGGAAAGGCGTAAAATTCAGTTCCACTTCCCGTCAACCGGTACAGTATAATGGCCAAAATTCTATAATTACAAAGATTAAGGTCCTAAAATGATCGCATATATGCGCCCCATTTGAAAACAGTTTGGTCTTATGAAAATTCAGCATGGCATCTCAAACATGACGTCTAAACTAACCGCAAATTAGATTTTCCTTTACAACTTGTGTGCCACTTGAGACACCAAAAGTAAAAAAGAAAAAGTAACAGCAGGTTATGTTTTTGGTGTTGCTGATACGAACACGATTTTAAACATTCATAATGGCGAGTTCAATATGGCGGCCAAAAATTTAAAATCGTGTCGATACGCTTGAAATGTTTTCCTCTGAGGTTCTTGAGTCCGCTGATTACAAATCTACGGTCAGTTTGGAAAAATTCAAAATGGCGATAGAAGAAGTTAAGTCGTTGAATTGAAATTGAATATACTACTCATACTCCAAGTACGTCCGATCGATTTTAACTTTTTCCATGATAAATGGTAGATCCAATATGGATCCACCATTTGAATTTTTAAAACTGATTTCAGATTCGTAATCAAAGACCTTAAGAACCCTTGATTGTAAAGTTTTAAGCAAATCTAATCGATTTAAATTTCTTTGTCGCCATACTGGGACCGCCATTTTGAATTTTTCCAACCTGTCCACAGATTCGTAATCAGCGGCCCCAAGAACCGCAGAGAAAAACATTTCAAGCGGATCGGATCGATTTTAATATTTTAGTTGCCATATATTGAATTTTTCTAACCTGTACTCAGATACAATAACGGTTAAATTTGCTGCATTTTTTTGTAAGCGAGCGACAAAAGAATGCTCAATACAAAAATTTCCCTCTCCACTTTCCCATTAACAATTCACAATAGAGCAGTTTTTTCACTTAACAACACTACTCTTCAGGTCGCGTATTTTTTAACCGACCAGGCTGAACTCGGATAAATAGCCGAGTTTGTGTTGTTGCTTTGCGTGTATTTCGTCATTTAAACGTGTGTTCTTTTGTAGCTCGGTTGCAAAAGAATGGACCTATTATATTGGGAAATAACAAATCATATTTAACGATTAAATTATGAATTTTATTAAAAAGATAATAACCCTTACTGACATCGAAGAAAATTAAATTCACAGCCTTTCTAGCAAATCATTAAAATAATTTCCTTCATCCTTAGAATGGCCGAAAATTCTAGAAATTCTAAACTCTCCTTAAAAGACGATGAATGCACTTTCACTTGGAAACTTTTCACTGGTTGGGATTTTATGATTGGCAAGTTGCAAATACATTTTTTCTCAAACGTATGCATTTTATTACTCTCCTAATTATTATAATTTTAGGTCACGCAGAAACAGCGCACAACCGAATTGCTTCCGTAGTAGTTGGCTTCAAGGAGGTATTGCTCGAGGAAGCCGAAAAGAAGAAGGATAATCGCAAGTGAGGCAAATTTGTATTTGTTTCTTACCTTTTATATACATTTTTGTCAATTTGCATTTTATGGTATTTTAAAATTCTTTAAATATTTTATCTTGCCGATCTCTGCTTTTACTACCCATTCGCAGTTGGCGCATAATACTGCAGCGAATATTGGTGAATGTAGTGGTGATGGGTCTATTAGCTGCCTCCGCGTACACTGTTGTCACCCTGGTGAATAAGTGAGTACCTACCGTTACCAGGTGATTTTTATCGCATTAAGTTTTATTATGCATCATGCGTGCGATATTTGTTGCAAATTTAATATTTCAATACTCTGAACTGGTTTTCTTTTTTTTGCATTTCGCACAGCTCGGAACAACTGGCACGTAATGGCAATTTACTCAGTCGCAATGCGGTTAACATCACCATCACACTTTTAGCCTTTTTTATGCCTATGATATTCGACGCACTGGGACTATTCGAAAATTGGCATCCGCGGCAACAGCTACGATTGCAATTGGCACGGTAGAAAAAAATTTCTTTCACTCGCACATACTCGTTTATATGCATATTAGTACTTTAATTAAATGTACTTAGAATGTTGAGTCTTGTTGAAAGATATTCGCGTAGTTTAGGGTAGCTTAGTGTGAGCCTTTTATACTTTTCCTATAATAATGCTTCCTGTAAGCAGCCTAGCTTGGGACATGCGGTTGGCTCTGTTGCAAGGGCCAACGAGCTTCAGATGCTATGCTTAGCCCCCATCAGGTTAAAAAAGGGACGCGGAAGTATCTCTATCCGTTGCCTTCTTTGTTACAGAGCCATATGAAAATGGCAGCTCTTGACTTTATTTATGTAATCCAAAAACTCTTCGCAGACTCTTTAGCTTGAGTATTATATTTTATAGCAGGTATTCTTCCCTTGACTCCTTTCGCCGAATTTCCTTCCTAAATAATCTGTTATCTGGAAGTAAGTTCAGGTCAAAAAGGTTGACTGAAGGGACCCACCATACGGCTCTTGAGGCCTAAGAGGCCCATTGTAAGGCCCACAATGCTTTCCAAAATCGTAACACTTTATGTTCTATCATTAGGTGAGTTACTTTGAAATATTTTTTTTCTTACTCCATATAAAAATATTTGTCCCCGCTCAGGTTATTCGATAATCAACATGAAAAAAAGGTTTAAACAAAGAAAAAATTAAAAAAGCCGTAACTGTTTGTGAATGAGCATGTTAACTTTTATTGTTTTATTCTATTTTTCCCTGAAAAATTTTATCAGCATAAGCGTGGCTTTCTATTATATAATAATAATAAAATAGGGTAACAAAAGAATTTTTAACAAGAAAACTTTGTTAAAACAGCACTAAAATGAATGAAATAAAATAAGTTAAGCTTTCATTAAAGTAACTAAAAGCCAAACGCACATGCATAATTCGTTATATGTATGCAGATATGTAAATGCCGCACAGTGTGCTTTTTGAACACTCCATGCGAATTAATCGTAGCGCTTTCGACAAAAGCAATATTTTGATATGAAACAAAATGGTCTTGAAAGCTAATGTTATTCCATTTCACAGAAAAATACTGCCATTGCACCACAAATAATCCTTGACCTTAAAAAAATTTGTCAAAAATAGTGTTCTTCAAAAAAAAACATGCAAAATCCAGCGGATTTGATCCAAAAAAACTTTTTTTGTGTGTTTTATTACACTAATATTATAAATTTTGAGACGAGAAATACGATTCCACGAAAAATCGAAAAAAAAATGTAACACGTCAATTTAAGAAATGCATTTTTGATTGCATTTTTTTTATTTGCATGCAGCTGTGCATCCTTCTTACAATTTTATATCACTCGAATAACAAGCATGCTGTAGTGCTATTCAATATTTTTAATTTGAGCTATGGTGCAAATCTTTAGGCCCTCCGAGAGCCAAGTTATAACAATTTTAAACCAAACTTCGAATCTGCTGTACGAGTTTTTACTCTGAAATTAGAAGAAATAAAATTATAGTTAAAAAACTAAAAACACGCTTTTATTACAACAAGAACTAAAAAGTATAAAATAATTTATAGATATAGCGATTCCGTTTAAGAAGAATTGGAAGTTCCCTAACTTGATTCAATTTAACTTTTTTAAATTAGCTAAAAATAGGATTAAAGTAATTTGCCCGTAGTCATAGTCAAAATAAAGTCCACTGTAAAGTTAGTTGCAGCATATTGACAAAATTTCCAATGCGATATCTGTAAAAAATTGGAACAAACTTTACAGTGGACTTTATTTTGACTATGACTACGTATTTCAATTAAATAGGTAATATACATATTCTGAATATAAACCAAATCGGAGCACAGATGCCGATTTTTTAATTATATAGACTCGCGCGCCACATAACTGCCAAAATTTTTTGTGTAGTTATTTATTTTCATGTAAGCAATATGCATTCGAAATGTGAATTTAATCGGATCATAAATACGGTTTTTGCAAATATCTCGACTCCTGCGCCACCTATCAGCAAAATTTTTTGCGGATTTAAATCTCTTCACGCAAGTAATATATGTTCCAAATATGAACCAAATCAGACCATAAATGCGGGTTTTACAAATATCTCGACTCCTGCGCCACCTAGCGGATTAAGTCATCTTTTATATTGCAGTGTCCTCGAGTACTGAGCTAAGTTTGAAGTTTCAAGTCTGTAGCTCATCGGGAAGTTTGTGTAATAAAATATAATAAAACATACATGGATTTTGCATGTTTTTTTCGAAGAACACTATTTTTACCAATTTTTTTAAGGTCAAGGAGTGTTTGTGGGTCGATGGCAGTATTGAAAGAGCATAAAATTAGCTTTCGAAACCATTTTGTTTCATATTAAAATGTTGCTTTTGTCCAAAGCGCTACGATTAATTCGCATGGAGTGTTCAAAAAGCACACAACACAACAATTTGGCAATTTCGAAATGGGTGCGTATCATTGTTCAACAGAAATCCTATATATGTACATACACAGACTTATTTCAGATGAAATACCTTAAAAGCCAGTTTCACGAAAGCAATTTGAGTGAAAAATAATATTTTTTTGTCAGGTTCCATATTAAATTCAAGTAAAAAAATAAATTGTCATTAAATTGCTTTCATGAAACTTGGTTTTAAGAGATTTGAGATTTACCACTGCACAACTCAACCCTGCAGCCAGATTCCAGCATTCGCTATCGCTAATTTTGATCGCTAAAAATCTTAAAAGAATAGCAGGCGCGCCTAACAACATGCAACGCCTAGTTACATGCTCCTCATACTACCAGCTTTGGTTGATTATACATTGCATCTGTTACTTTTATGATGCGTGCTTTTAGGCCCCACTGATTTTCATTTAGCCCTTTCCCTGCGTTTGTACAATATATTGTACATTTAATTGTTTGTAACATTGGAAGCGTGCTACTAAAAATCTTATTAATATTTTTGAAAACAAATTAAACTTTATGAAGTTTTGGAATGTCCCGAATAGTTTACGTAAATGGGCGCGTTTCTAAGACGAAGCTGTTGCTAAACTGTTGAGTGTTTGTTTCAGAAACGCACAGTTGAGTAGTTCCGCTCAGCTCAACGGTTGGCAACTTTACGCCATTTTTTCCATCATAAAATTATTTCGCTACATGAAGTCAACAATTTATATAAGTCAAAAATGATGTTTCCCTTCCGTCAGTTTTCATAGAAAATTCAAATACAAAAATTATTTGTGTGTAAATTGCTGGCGAAACTGGCTGTTAATAAAATAAAATGCACGTACAAATACATATATTAAAAATAAAATAAGAAAAACTCCATTATAAATCCTGTGCTATCCATATTTTTGGCTTAATATTTTTTTATTTTTGTGCTGTTTCATTTAATTTTGCTTGTTTACAAATGTTTTGGCAGTTAATGTATCATCCCGTTTCTAAGACATAACTGTTGAACTCAACAGTTGACAGCATTTCAGCAACAGTTGAGGTAAACAGTCTTAGAAACGCGCCCAATTTCAAAATCGAAAATGTTTCAAAAATATTCTTAGAATTTAATTTAAAAATAGACCGTTTTATTAAATTCTAGTGACTGCGTGTGGTAATTTACTGTACAAAAAATACGTGAAAGCCAAGGAAAATCGCTAATAAAAGCAAATACAGTGAACTCGCGATAATATTAACATCCTAACATATGAATATCCCAAAATATGAACAATTTTTCGCTAACATTGACTACTCTAAAATATGAAGACGAAGCAAAAGCTCTATGAACATTACAGTTTTGAAAAATGTCTAACGAATTTCAAGCGCTTGGTAATTTGGGGAATCCCCTAGTTGTTTTTATTGAAAATGTCTATTCGTGTCGCTCGAAAATGCTGGTATGTGCTCCCATAAACGTTTTGCTTTCTCCTACGTCGGTCGTCAGTAAGAATTTCTAATGTTGTTAGTTGGTTATTGCACGCAAGCACGATTGCTTCTTTATTTTCTTAAGAAATAATTAAATATTAATAATTTTTAAACATGCACACAAAAAAGCATACGTTTTTGACTTTAAGAGAAAAATCAGATATTGTGGAATACATACATACAGTGCAGGTAGCAACTAAATATGGAGTGACAAAGTCTACAATACATATGTGGAATAAGAAAAAATAAAAATGCTATCTCTAAATGTGTCAACAAACCATTTATCGGTCCGGGAATAAGGAAAACTATGCGCCCTTCAGAGTATCCAAAAATGGAAAAATCGCTATATCGATGGTTTTTGCATATGAGAGACAAAAAGCTCCCGGTTAGCGGACTGATGTTGAAAGAAAAGGCCAAAGAGCTTTATTGTAAAATTAAAGAAAATTGTCTTGAATTCAATGCCAGCTGGATGGCTTCAAAATTTAAAAAGGAGATATGACGTATGTATTAGAAAAAACGGTCCCAGGTGCAAAGATGGAAAAGCAAAGGGTAACGTTCTTGTACTGTTGAAATGCGGCAGGATCTCATCAACTTAAGCTTCTTGTGGTCTAGAAACCCCCGTTGTTTTAAAGGTTTTGACTGCCCTGTTTATTACCGACATTCTAAGTCCGCTTGGATGACTTGTACAATTTATGTACATAGGCTACAAAATTTTTGACACAAAAAGGACTACCAGTTAAAGCTATCCTTTTAATTGATAACGCTCCATCGCAACCACCTGAGAATGAACTTAAAAGAGAAAACGGCTCTATTTTAACAATGTTTATGCTACCAAATGTGACCCCGGTAATACAACCCATGGATCAGAATGCAATTAGGATTACGAAACTCTATTACAGAAACAGTATTTTGGCTTCCGTTGCTGCAAAGGGGTGTGATTTGCTAGAATATATGAAGGCAATCACACTTACGGAAGCTGTTATTACTTTAGAATCTGCATGGAGTAAAGTGGATGCTGTTGTGCTATCCAAATGCTGGAAAAATGTTTTGAATATGGTAGAAATTCAAGAGGATTCTGAAGATCCTGGAAAGAAGAAGATTTGGAGGAAAGCGCAGTCAATCTTTTA